CCGTCTATCACCAACACAGGCCAATCAGCTAACCAGTATTTTCGCCCCTTCCCAAAATTTCTTGAACGGAAGGTTTCCAGATGGATATGCGGAGCAAATTCATCTGGCAGAGTCAGGTTATTTCTAAACGGCCATTTTTCAAATTTCAATTTACAAAATGTGTTCTTTTGTTGCAAAGACAATGAAGCAAACTTGCCTCCATAATTAGGTGTGTGGGCTGCTCAGTGGGCCAGTGGGTAGCACTGCTGCATTGCAGAAATAAGGTTGCCGGTTTGATTCCCTGCCCGGGTTCTTTCTGCATGGAATATGCATGTTCTCCCCGAGCATGCATGGGTTCTCTCCGGGTACTCCGGCTTCCTCCCGCAGTCAAAAACTGTTAGGTTAATTGGCTTTTCTAAATCCTCCTTAGGTGTGAGTGTGTCTGTGAATGGTTGTTTGTCCTGTTTGTCTCTGTGTTGCCCTGCGATGGACTGGTGACCTGTCCAAGGTGGACCCCGCCTCTCACCTGTAGACAGCTGGAGATGGACACCAGCATCCCTTGCGACCCCACTTGGAATAAGCGTGACGGAAGTGGATGTTTTCCCTTGTTGTACGTTTTAGCTACAGAGAGAATAAGAGAAGAATTTCCATTTGCACAATAACCTTTTTAATAATACTATAACCTGTGGTATGATGTCAGAGCTGCAATGCATGCTGGGAGAAGCGTTGCAGTGTGTTTAAACTGTAATGATCTGTGATGGACGTCTGGTAGACAGTGTTGCACTGCTACTTCTGGGCAGGGAGGGATGAATTGGGGGGAAACGTTTGGAAGTTAGGAGATTGTAGAGAACTGTTTTTACTTGCCTGACTGTGTCACTGGATCATTCTAGATGGTTACAATGGGTGCCGCTCAATGTTTATTGATTTATTTTGTGTTTGTTTGTTTTGTTGTTATATGTTGTGTGCTTTTCTCCTTTTTCTGTCATGTTCAAATGCTGCTGACTCAGACTTTAAGGTATCACAGAAGTTATTGTCTTTGCAATGTAGTTCTTTCACTCTGTACAAAGAATTTTAAATTCCTTAATATGAACCGACCCTTTCAAAATAAAATAAATCAAATCAAATGAAAATGAATTTAATCAAAGACCTTTTGGATTAAGAAATAACAAGCAGCTCATACATAATGGTCATTTTGTTCTAATGTTTTTAAAAAATGTTAAATAAAGGAGAGATGTGCTTTTTAACTGATCAGCTGTTTGTCCATGGATGGTTGCCTATGAAATAAAATAATTTCAATCTGAAAAACTCACACGGAAAGAAAAAGAGAATTAGAAGAATGTTATTAATACCATCATTTTAAGACTTTGGCGCTCAGACCATGGAAGGAAACATTTGCTCTGAATTTTATTTTAATATTTATAAGCAGGTGTATGACAACAGGGATGTTTCTTGCCACAGGATGAAGAGAGCACATCCAGCCAGTCACAGTCAGAGAAACAGGACTAAGCTAAAAAAACTGGCTGAGCTCCAACATCTATTGATCTCCTTTCTATTGATGGCAGCAGCACAGCTGATATTTCTCTTCAGGATGGAGTCACAGCCAAACAGGAACAGACAAAGCAAAGCTTCTATGAGAGAGAGCAGAATGTTAGAGATTGAACTAACAGATTCTGCAGAGTGGGAGAATAGAGATAGAATGAAGCAGAATGATGAAAAACGAGTCCCTATGTCCTCCAGCAGTCTAAGCTTATAGCAGCATAACTATAGAGACTTTCAGAGTGTGGTTTTATTTTAGTATTCGGTAAGATTTTCTCAAATCTGTTACAGGTTGTTTCTGAGAACCAGATAATCAGCCAGACATGGTTTTATGGTTCAAAGTTTTATTGAGCGTTAGTGATGAACACCAAATCTAATTCTTCATATTAGTGATTATTTATTATTTATAGTGAATTTCTCCACTTTGAGATCAATAAAGCTCATCTTATCTTATTGGCTGGTAGCTGAGCTAAAGTATGAGGAAGAACTTACCCAACAAATCAGAGGAAACTAAATGCTTTCAACACAAAACAGTAAATACAACTTTTAAATACTTGTGAAATTAGAATATCTATTATTTTTATAGACTATATTCTAAGATTGGGAGACTCTCAGAAAGATGAATATCCTGATAAAACAATACTTTTTATTTGACGTCTTTACTGTCTTTCCGTGCACTGCTGATCACCACTGACCTTGAACGCTGCATGTCTCTGTGTGCGTTAGAAGAAGAAATGTTGTGACATAGTGGACAAATCAGCAGTTACAGTGAGTGAGTGTGGAGGAGACCCAGGTTGCCTGACTCCTAGCTCGCCTGTCCTCTTCCATCATGTTCATGTGAGCAGCAGGCGTTCCCCAGCGTGTGTCATCTTATTATTCACCACCAGAGGCTGAGGAACTGAGGGCGGCTGAATGCTCTGAAAACAGTGTTTTCTCCTGAGTGAGGGAAGAGCCCAGGCGTGTGTTCATAAGCTCGGATGTTTTCGTGAGCAGGCGGAGGTTCAACGTTAGAGCAAACAAGAGAGGAGCAAATAGTTGCTGTGCATCTCACTGCCAAACATGCCTCTTAGGTATTTTTAGAAAGTTGTTTTTTTGTCTCATATCTTTCATGAAATTGTATTTTAAATACTGAGTCTGGTACAGTGTCAACAAAGGAGATCCATACAGTGCATCACACTTTCAAAAATCTACAATGCTGCAATTGAGTTGATTCCTTCCCGCTATCATCGCAACCCCAACCCCATAGAGGGGATCAAAACACCTGGCCTGTTTCAGCCAGGCCAACAATTCCCTCTAACGACCCTCTTTCAGAGACATACGCAGGGATCGGGTTTCACAGGCTGACAAAGGACTCAAACGACCTCATTCTAAAGGGGCGGACCCGCTCGTCTGGATCAATTTGCATTTTTTCTAATTCAAAACACTCTATAAAGCCTCAAGCACAATTTCTGACATTTTGAATTGAAAAAGCTTCCTGGATGTGAAGAGAAACGTCTTCAAACTTAAAAACAAAGTCAAGTGGATTGTTTTTTTTACTTTTTTTTGGAATATCTAAGACCTGGATGACTGAGAATCTTCACCAGCCATCAAACTTTCACCAATGTGTTTGACTGTGGGTCTGATGTTCTATGTTTTTGACCTGACAATGAATCCAATAAATGATCATGAAACTTTTTCCGAAAAAATCCCATTTTGCTTCCTATTCCTGGGAACCAGGAGGTGGCAACACGAACTTTAAAAGTTGCTGCTCGCCGTTTTCCTGGTCAAACCATTCAATGTTGCTGTGGGGGGAATTCTAATGGCCCCTTATTTAAAGAAAACATTACATAAACCTAATGCAGATATACTAATAAAAATTTTTTAATCACAAATATTTTATGAAAAATTCATTCTGTCTGTATTTTAAATGGTCAGAATGTCAATTTCAGGACCCCCTCTGTCCCGGGCCTGGGACAGTTGACCCCTTTGACCCCCTCCTGTCGGCGGGTGTGAGTAACATTCTTTAAAACCACAAACCTTCTTTGGGACCAGCAGCCTTTTTAGATGGAGTTAGTCTTTAAACTATTGACTGTGCATAAAACCTTTCACAGTCTTTAGAAACATTAACAGGCTTTATGACTATGAACAGTCATTAAAACCATTAAAAGTCTTTTAAACCAGTGACCCTCTTTGACACCAGTCAAAATCTTTCGGACTGGTCACTGTCTTTGGAAGCAGTTATAGTCTTTAGAACCAATAACTGTCTAGAGTGTTAGAAAATTAAAGCAATTCAAACAGCTTATTTAATTACAAGGCAACGATAAGAAAAGTTATGTTTTACAAACACCAGGGATGTAACGCTTCTCTCCATTTTCCCTCCCCTTCCAGATCCCAGTCATGACTGGCGCCTTCATGGACTCTTCACCCAATGATGACTACAGCGGCGAACACTCGCTCTTCAACTCCTCGGCGAGCGTCAACGCCGCAGCCTCAGCAGCCTCGGTGCACGGCCCGCCTGATGAGCAGCAGCCCATGTCGAGTGACGCCATCTGGCTTTGGATCGCCATCATCGCGACCATTGGAAACATAGTGGTGGTGGGCGTAGTCTACGCCTGCACCTTCTGATACATCAGACAAACTTAACAGCCACACATCCAGCTTTTGTTTTTATCCTTTTTCTCATGTCTGGAAATATAAACAGAACAGAGACATGTTTGAATTGAAGTTCTGGTAATTAGCAATGATTTATAAGCATCCATTGTTCTTTTTTTAAGAGAACTGTCGAGATTCTCCTGCATTTGACATCAGTGAGCCTTTTTGATTCAGTCTTTATGTTTAAGATGTGTCACCATCTTCTATGTTCCAGAACCAAACTTTCCAAGGCTGATCATAAGGTTTGTTTCCTGAACGTAACTCTGATTTTATTCTTTGAAAATATACGTTGTTTATTTCCATCAAACGGACAGCAGCTAAATCTTACAACTTAGAACAAAGGGAAAGTTAACTAATCAAATTTTTAAGTTAAAGAGTCTAAAAGTTACTAAAGTAATTTAAACAATTCTGAATATATATAATTTACATATTTTAGTTCTAAATTATTTAAAGTATATTTTTTCTAGAGGGAAAAAACAAAACAAACAAAATTATGATTCATAAAACATTTGACACAAATGGCTCCAAGAAGATGATTATTTGCATGATATCTCTTTGGTTGGTCTTCAGATTCTTTTACTTAAAAACATTACCTTGGCTTTTAGTTTGCTATTAAAATGAAGCTTAAGTTAGACTCAAAATGCTGGTTAGACCTGGTCTATCTACGCTGCAAAAACTGATATAAAAATAATTAAAATGTGCTTAATCTACATTCAGTTCAATTCAGTTTATTTCTATAGCGCCAGTTCACATTATGCGTCATCTCAAGGCACTTTACAGTTCACCAGATCATCCAGTTCATTCAAAGCTATCTAAGGAAACCAAGTAATTGCATCGACTCATTGACTCTTCAGCAATCCCTCACACTAACCATGCTTGTAGCGACAGTGGAGAGGAAAAATTCCCTTTTAACAGGAAGAAACCTCCAGAAGGAACCAGGCTTAGCGTGAGCGGCCATCTGCTGAGGCCGACTGGGGTTCAAGGAGACAGAAGCAGACATAGAAAAGAAGCAGATAAGATAATCTGTTAGTGAAATTAGTGTTTTATCCTTAAAACAAGATAATTAGTTAGAATGCTGTCGAAATAGGATAATGGAATATATTTTTTTCCTTATTTTTAACATCATCTTAATCATCTTCAGTGGCAACTTTTTTCACATCCCTGTTAAATTGAAGGAAAAGTACATTTATTTTAAGACGGAAATCTAATTATAAATGAATTCTCGCGGTGTATTTTTAAAACAACAAAGCACTTTGTTGTCACTTGAATGGTGAGTGTGAGTGAGTAATGCAGTTGTTTCTGTAGGCTTTGACTGTGAAGAAAGAGTGAATGAAGAAGTTTGTCTTCTGACCCCTAACTGTTACCACACGTCGTCACGACCAAAAACATAGAGGTCCTGGAGGCTGAAGCCTGCTTCCTCTTTAGGACATTGAAGCTTGGAGTGGATTCAGAGGGTTTACCTGTTGGAAAAAAAAAAAAACTACTTACACCAAACTGAAAGTTTCTTCACTGCCGACTTAAATATTTAAGAAGCTGTCATTCAACTATCATGGCCGTTTCTGAATGAATGGCTGCTGTGATATTTAGTTAATATCTGTTAAGTTCAGTGAGGATCTACAGCTTTAAGCTAAATATGATCAGAAGCACAAGTAAAACTAGAAGCTCTATAGCCTTCTGTTTTGGTTCAAACCATTTTTCACTAATTTGATGGTCTTAGTATCGTGATTTGTTTGATGATGCTCAATTTCAGATGGAGGGAATGAAGTAAATTATCAATGGAGGCAGATTTACATCAAGTTTCAATGAAAAGATAAAACAAAGGTAACAAACGTGTTGGATGTGAATATTTCTTCAGAATAACTGAGTTCTTGAGTCAAATAAAGCCATAGATATTGCAAACTGTTAGGCCCTTCATCCTACAGTTTTTCTTGGCAATGCTTTTTTAGTCTGACAACAGCCATAAACAAAGCAGGCTGTTGTTTCGGCGTTGCTGCAAACCACATTACGTCAGACTGTAGAGCTGCATTGTTTGTGACGATCCTGCCCACACAGAGAAACTACTCCACTGTAATGGAAAACAAATGAATCTCAGTTTATCTGACCAAAACCAGAGAAATAGTTTATCAAAGGAAAATAGGCATAAATCTGGGAGATTATAGCTTTCTTGTCAGCAGGTTGGTCCATAACCACAAGGCCAACAATCAACAAAGTATTGTTTATGTTAACTGAAAAAAAAAAAAAAAAAGTATGCAAAGGTGTCTGAATGCTTAAAAGGAAAAGTCTGGTAATTTCCAGAACTCAAACTTCTGAAAATACTTTAAATATGAAATTATTCCAGCCTGTTCAATAAATGATAAATGTTTTTAATTCAGAGTAATTTTCATGTGAATGTGCTTTACTGGAGGCATCCATGTTTGTCAAAGAACTCTACTGCCACCTAGCAGTTTGTGATGTCACTGTGCGGTATCAGCTGTTGATCAAGTCCCAGTGCTGTATCTTTTTTTATTTTAATTCAAAACACAAAAAATACTTAGTTAAGAAAATTGTGCAAAATAGCAGTTAAAAAAGCCGGCTTGCTTGGTCTCGCAATGAATCCTGGGATATCCAAGGTTAGCGAGGCTACATCGGACCCAGGCACTCGACTCTGGCCTTCTGAGGACGCAGCCCATGAATTCGAACACAACCGTTGATTTGAATGCAGACATAATATAACATTTGATAGATTTGATAGGTCCTGTTTTTGGTTAGAGTACAACCTTTAGGTGCATTACTGCCACCAACTGGAAAGGAGGGTAATAGCTCAATCAGAGCTTCTAGATATTCTATCATGAATGTATAATTGTACCTGATTTTCCGCCAAGTTTTAAATCTGTAACTTGCATTTATAACGTTTAAACTTTTATTCTCACAGATGAAACATCTCCTGTCTAATGTATGTATTTGCTGACAGCAAGGAACAAATACAAATCTTAAATTCAATTACCTGAATTTAACTTGAATTTACCAATTGCAACACCTAAGCATACGTTTTTATTGATAATTATCTTACCCCATGGTTATATTTCACAGATGCAGGTTACACCATTGAAGCCGGTTCTACTGGTGTGATGCTAAGGGCCCAGGCAGCTTAAATATTAGCACTAAGGGTAAATAATCATTGCTAAGTAGATTAGCATCTAACAGCATTCTAATGTTAAACAGAAAAACATGCAGCAAAGCTTCCCAGTGCCGATGAAGCAGCTGCTGCAGACACCAGCGTTAGCAGCCAGATGATCTGATCACACATTTAAAGTCCAATTTTTTCATTTTTCTGTGAGCTTTTTACCTTTTCACCATAATAGAGAACGACTGGATCAGTCATAAAAAGCACAAAACATCCATGGCTGCTTTACTTCCTGCCCTCCATCTGCTGTGTAACGCATCAAAGAGGCCCTAAAGCAAAATTAGATTTAAGTGCACTTCATCTCTACCAATAATATCTGTTGCTGTAATCAATGATCAGATCATTCTCATACTGTCTATAAACTCACTCCAGCTCTGGTATTGCTGTTTAGCATCATCTAGTGTAACTAAAAGTGATACAATAAACTAGTATGTATTTTATTTACAGTAAAAGTCTCTGAATGTTTATAATTTTTGGTTCCAACTACAATGTTTATCTTAAAAAGGTTTGCACTCGTCCACTCCACTATTTATCACTCTGAGCCCAAGACCAATATTTCATTTATCTTATCTTTTTTTTTATAAAAAACATTTTGATTTAAACAATCCACAATTTTATTAGTATATTGTAGGTTTCTTTTTTTTTTGTTATACTATATTTATATAGAAATCATTATACATGCAAAAAAAAACAACAAACAATTGGGTTGTTGCCCTAGGGCCCCAAGCAGTCGCTAAGTTTGCCTGTGCCTTTGGCCGGCCCTGATGTGTTTGATGTTAGAAATGTGCAGATGTTGGTCTAAAGAGCTGAAAACACATCCTGCCGTTATATAAGAACGAAAGGAAAAGGAGGTGAAGGAATCAGCAGATGTAAACGAAAACTGCTGAGTGTGCAGAGTGAACATGTTGCTGATTGTGAGACAAGATTCACTCTTGACTTAATCTATTTCATGCCAGAGAGTAAGGCCGAGTGTGCGTGGACCTGTAACAGGCCCGACTGTCACCCTAATGAACAAAGAATCCCAGTCTTTAGTCTTAGTCATTTAGAAATGCAGGTCAGCAAAAAAAAAAAAGAAAAGATAATAATGTGTGCAGGATCATCCCTAGAAGTAAAACGTCAGACAGCATTCATCACTAAACTGGTCCTCGGAGCAGAAAAAAGTCACATTCAGCAGGAATATTGTGCTGAAACTCTGTGATGTTTCTTAACTTCTTCTTACCTTTTCTGCTGCTGTAGCTCCAGCTGTTCAAACATATATATTTATCTTTGGGATAAGTTTCAGTAGTGACTCCATTAATTGTGTGTCTGTAAACATTGTAAGACTGAATTTGTCTTATTTACATTATTAACCAAACTGTTAAAATATGTTCTTGATAAAAATACACTTTACGAAGTAAGAAAGGGAGGCGCAAGCCTTTCTTTGAAAGATGCAGGCAGCTGTATGGAGGGAGTTCTGTTCCAATATTGTTGCATTATCTTATGCAGGCCAGTTAGTTATACATCAGCCTGAACACCTAAATTCGGCCAATCATATATCAACGGTCATCTGTCTAAGTTGACCGTCTGTCTAAGTTGCTAACTGGTTTGCAAAAATGCTTCCAACAAACCAGCCACAACCAAACTTGCTTGCGAACCTTCCGCCACAACAATCCTGCCTCCTTGATAAATGACCAATCATGTTCAATTTATTCACTCACTTAAAGTCGGGCACCACTCTGGAGAATTCGGAAATGCAACTGTTGGAACAGCCGTTTCCTTACGACTTTAAAATGCAATTTGAAATGTAAACAATCTGAAAATGAGAAAATTCAAAAAAACATACAATCTAAAGTATAAATTTGGACAAATAACATTTGAAAAAAATAAATAAAACAAGATCAAAATAAAAGAATTTACCACAAAAAGTTTAAAATATTAATTTCAGATTGCAATATTTTAAAAAATTTCACTTACAAACATTTGTTTTACTTGCAACAATAATGGAACTAAATTCACTCCATACAACTGAACAACATCTGTCATACTTAAACTTTGACCTAAACCAGAGACTGGAGCATAAACCTGCAACCAAAGAGAAAAATGCTGCTTCTAATGTCAAAAATGTTACAAATTGATCTGCAGTCATATCGAGATCAGAGCCATAAAGCTTCAATCTTTGCTCACTGAAAGTCTGGGCTTAGTTCAAACCAGACGACGCTCCTTTTGAACTACAGGAAGAATTGATTCTGGGACCTTTACTGGTTTTAATGAGCGACAGTCGGCCAGCTGTGTATCGTCAACTCTTTGCTCACATCATCAACTGATTCTGATTTTGGATTGAAAATTTGGACAGAAAATACACATGGTAGCTCTACACTGACTGAAGTTTCTACTGTGATTTCAACATAAATCCAATATCCTGTTGAGTTTTGAACTCATGCTTTAAACATTATACCTGTTCAAATATTAATTCAAAAGAGAAAAAAAGACACGAGTTACAGTGTCTCTTACATCATGTAAATACAGCTCTAATATCTATTGTATATATATGTAATAACAGGTTAAATATGGGTGTACTTTTACATGTTTTAATGAAGGACTTTTAAATCTGTTTATTTTTAATAAATGTTTGAGGTAG